AATAATCTATTAACATAAAATTTTCTATTGTTAATTCATTCATTGTTCCTTAATGAAATACTCTTATATCTTAAATAGTTTCTAATACGTAGTTTTCTAATTATACAATTTTGATACCGTACATTTCGACAATAGCTTTCCACATCACCCGTGAGATACTATTGTAAGATGCGTTTTTTAAAATGTGGTTTCCCCAGCCTATTCCACAGAAACAAGAATCAAATCGAATGTGGCTTGGCAGGAAAGCAAAATTATATATCGTATTATACATAAAGAACAAAGGACTAAAGAAAATAGAAACAGTCAATTTAGGTATTGCAACTCACGAGCATGGCGCAACTTTGTCGCGCGTTCGCAGCTTATACTCTACAATCTCCGATAATTTTAGAAGAAACTGAAATTTCTTCCTCGTTCAACCGCTTCGGCACACAGTACAAAATTTTGAGACCGATAATTAGGCGCCAGACACGAGCGAGCGTGCCACTCTTACTCAAAATTTCTCAGATTATTTTCCACGAGACATTATACTAAACTGCGAACGTCGATGGCCCTTTCAACCGGCAGCTCGAAAATGGCAAAGGGGGTGGTTCGTGATCGAATATAGAGGATCGTTTAGAGGAGCGAACGGGGCAATGATAATAAACGACACAGTGCTTAATAGGAAATAAAAAAAAAAACAAATATATTCTGTGAATCTGACAAATATTTTCGGTGAATCTCTTACTCGACAAAGTTGTGATAATAGCAGGCGATAGAAAGGCGGTATTTTCGCTTCGTACATTTTCCGGTACGCTTCCGATAACGTGTAACGATTACACTAATTCTCAGCGGCACGAGCTCACGCCACACAAGAATAATTCTAGCCGGATCGCTCAAATAATAGTTCGGCCCCGAGATAGCCACGGGGTGATCCCGATTGATCACGGCTCGATTGGACACCACCAATCACAGCGACCGGTGCTTAGGAGCTTTGTAGTCTCAAGCGCTGTGAGTGGCTCGTGTCCAATTGAGCCGTGTCCAACTGGGTGCCACGATAGAAAACGGTTACGGCGTTACCCCAAACACAGCGTGACCTCGTGCTCGTTCGGACTTCGAATCATCGTACAAAAGTTAGAAAGAAATAACGAATACCCTGACGCTACGCCACATTCCGATACAAAAGGGACAACAATTTCGCGACAATTTTTAACGATAATGACTAGGCTGTGGCTTAAGCGGAAGTAATTATAACGACGCAGAAAGTAATTATAACGAATACGTCGTACTACGTAGTCGAGGGAGGTGGCGCGCTTAGACAACCTTAACGTGAGAAACCTGATGGAATTGCAACTTCACGTGCGCCTTGTAAACGATAGCCGATAACGATACCGATACGCGCCTCCCTGACAGGAAATTGGTAACCTTACAGTTTGATGACGTCCGTCTCACCCCGATAGTCCTCCTGGTTGCTCTTTGTGCGATAGGTTTTCCAGTCGTCCTGCTTCCTTTCACACGCTCTCGACTCGATAGTCACAGCACAAGTGCTGGGCGCTGATCCTCCCGGAGGTACGTAGTGATCGCTATTTCCCATGAGGGGTTCTAATCGCGCCTAATTGACGCGTAGCCTCGCGGCTCCGAGAATGATTTGTGTCGCCAGCGTATCCTGCACTCGGGCGCGGAATTTAATTGGGGACCGCAGGGTTTCTTTGGCTGCTTCGGAAACTCTCCCTGAGTTTCCGCATGCAGGAGACTCGTATCTCGGCGGCGGCGTCCCCGTAGTGGTCGATGCCTCCTTATCCGGCCGTGGTTCCAGACCCGCAGGGGAGGTCTCCTCAAACTCCGTTGTGGGGGTCTCTCGCCGACTTTTGGTCATCCCTGGCTGTTGCCCTCAGTCTTTGTGTCAGATGCGCCTGCAATTTGATACAATGAGCGACAGAAATTTCGAAATAAAGCGCAAATTGTTAGAGCGTGAAGCGATATCACCTGCGCGCCACCCTCTTGATAAGATGCTGCGCTCCGGTCAATCTTTCCTAGAGTCCCTATAATGAAAGTCAGGGCATGAGACCGGAAGAACGCCATTGCCAGGCCGCGGCCGGAAACAGTAAATAACACGCGCACCATTCAAAGTTTCGGTAATAGTGAAATGTAATAATCACAATATCCGTAATTGTTAATTAAATCATGTTGCATGTGTACAGATTAGTTTGTCGATTTTAACTCACCATTTTTGCCTGCTGAAAAACGGCTTCATCGTAAAAAGCCAATTTATAAACACAATATAACATACCTCACATAACACTGAATTTTTTGTCGGATTCCAATTTGGTTTGTCCAGTGCCGCAATTCTCCTGTCATCTTTAGGGAACATTGATGTCTTGATCTCTTGTGTTGATCTTGCATCACAAATAGCACACCGTGCCATGGTGACAGTCCGATTTCGCGTTCGCGTCTTTCTGTACTACTACATCATAACAGTTGCTCACACCAATTCACAGATTCACTACCACATCGAAATGGCCTATAAATGGCGGCGTCCAATCAGAGACAACCGCCCCTCATGTCCGGGCTAATATAAATTTTAAGCCAAATCTCAATAAACGACTTTTATATTTTGTGCACTAAGAATAACATATCGCACTTATTTTTTATAATCAAATTGTAATCTGTTTTACTTGTATGTATGTATGTTCATTTTGAACTCGCACCTTCAATAACATATGAGTTACTTTTCATGAGAATATATTAATTAAATTTAAATATATTTACACTTTATGTATGTTCACTTTGAACTGGCACCTTCAATAATATATCAGTTACTCATCGTAATATATATCACCTCTGTGAAGTTGACCCCACTTTTTTCAAAAATTGAAAAAACAAGTACAGTTCTGGTTGCCCCCCCAAGAGT